GATGATAGGACAAGAAGCAATGGGCTTAAATTGCAACAAGGGAGGTTCCTTATTTACTTACTCTATTATCTTTCCTGGCACAGAAGTTAAACTGACTGGTCTGTAGTTTCCTGGGTTATTCTTATTTCCCTTTTTATAGATGTGTACCATATTTGTCCTTTTCCAGTCTTTTGCAATCTCTCCCAACTTCCACAATTCCTCAAAGATGATAGCTAAATGCTCTGATAGCTCCTCTATCGGCTCCTTTAGTTTTCTAGGATGCATTTCATCAGGCCCTGGTGACTTGCAGACATCTCACTTTTCTAAGTCATTATTAACTTACTCTTTTTTTTTAATTTTAAATTCTAAACCTACCCCATTTCCACCAGCATTCACTATGTTAGGTATCCTGTCACCATCCATCTTCTTGATGAAAACTGAAACAAATAAATCATTAAGCACTTCTGCCATTTCCAAGTTTCTTGTTATTATTTCTCCCTCTTCATTGAGCAGTGGGCCTACCCTGTCCTTGGTCTTCCTCTTGCTTCTAATATACTTGTAGAACATCTTCTTGTTACCCTTTGTCTCTAGCTAGATTTAGCTCATTTTGTGCCTTTGCCTTTTTAATCTTGCCCTTGCATACCCGTGTTGTTTGCTTATATTCATCCTTTGTAATTTGATCTAGTTTCCACTTTTTTTGTGACTCCTTTTTGATTTTTAAATCATATAAGATCTCCTGGTTGATCCTAGGTGGTCTCCTGCCATACTTTCTATCTCTCCTACACAGTGGAATAGTTTGATTTTGGGCCCTTAATACTGTCCCTTTAAAAATCTGCCAACTCTCTTCAGTTGTTTTTCCTCTTAGTCTTGCTTCTCATGGAAACTTACCTACCAGCTCTCTGAGTTTACTAGGGTTGCCAGGTGTCCAGTATTGAACTGGAGAGTTTGGTATTTTCACCTCCTGTCCGGTAAAAAAATTCAGAAAATACTGGACACCTAAAATGTCTGGTGCTTTCTGATTTTTTCCCGGCCAGGAGGCGAAAATCCCAGACTGTCCGGCTCAATATGGAGGCAGCCTGGCAACTCTAGTGCATACTGAGTTTCACAGGGGAGCTGTCTGGCCCCGCGCAGGGAGGCAAGATGGCAGGCAGCCACCGGCAGCCTGTTAGGGCCAAAAAGCCTCACCACACGTTTCTTAAAGGGGCCACATAGTTTTTTGTGTTGTGGGTTTGGGGTTTTGTGTGTGTTTTTTTTGTTCGGTATTTTTTCCTGAAACCATCTGGCAACCCTAGAGTTTACTAAAATCCATTTTCTCGATTTTGCTGTTCTCCCTTCTACCATTCCTTAGAATCATGAACTCTGTGTATCCATGATCACGTTCACCCAAGATGCCTTCCACTTTCAAATTTTCTACTAGTTCCTCCCTATTTGTTAAAAATCAAATATAGAACAGTTTTTGTCCTAGTAGCTTTCTAAAACTTCTGAAATAAAAAATTGTCTCCAACAAAGTCCAAGAACTTATTGGATAATCTGTGCCCTGCTGTGTTAGTTTCCTAACAGATGTCTGGGTAGTTGAAATCCCCCCATCACCACCAAAGTCTGTGCTTTGGATGATTTTGTTATTTGTTTAAAAAAAGTCTCATCCAACTTTTCTGTCTAGGTAGTTGGTGCATAGCAGACCCCCTATCATGACATCATTCTTGTTTTTACTGCTTTTAACCTATCACAGAAAATCTCAACAAGTCTATCTCCTATGTCCATCTCCACCTTAATATACAAGGCAACACCTCCTCCCTTTTTTCCCTGTCTGACCTTCCTGAGAAAGCTGTATCCTTCTATGCCAATATTCCAATCGTGTATTATCCCACCAAGTCTCTGTGATACCAAGTATGTCATAGTTGTGTTTATTTATTAGTACTTCAAGTTCTTCCTGCTTATTCCCGATACTTCTTGCATTTGTGTCCAGGCATCTAAGATACTGATTTGATTTTGACCCCCAGTTCTGCCTTGTCCCTCCTTTATGTCTGCTATTATAGCCCGTGCTCCCTCCCATTTCTGAGCCATCTCCCAGGTCTCCATGTTTTTCACTTACCTGTGGGCTTTGTTCACCTACCCCCATCGGACCTAGTTTAAAGCCCTCCTCACGAGGTTAGCCAGTCTGAATCCAAATATTCTCTTCTCCTTCTTCGAAAGGTGAACCCCGTTCTTGCTTATCAGTCCTTCTTCTTGGAACAGCATTCCATGGTCAAAGAAGCCAAAGTCCTCCTGGTGACACCATCTTTGCAGCCAGGCATTCACCTGTCTCTGCCTGGGCCCCTACCTTTGACAGGAAGACTGAAGAGAATACCACCTGCACTCCAAACTGTTTCTCCAAAGCCCTGTAGTCACTCTAGATCTGCTCTTGGTCACACCTTGCCATATAATTTTTGCACACATGGATGAGTAACACGGGGTAATAGTCAGAGTGCTGGATAATCCTCGACAGTGCCTCCTTACCATCTCGGATACGGGCTCCTAGCAGGCAACATACCTCCTGAGATGACATGTCAACGTGACAGATGGGTGCCTCCGTCCTCCTCAGAAGAGAGTCTCCAATCACCACAACTCTGAGTTTCCTCCTCACAGTGGTGGCTGCAGACCTCCCAGCGTTTGGCGTACAAGACTTCTCCTCTTCTGCTTTTGGGGGTGATTCTTTATCTTCCATATCCAGAACATCATAACAGTTCTCCAGAACCATGTAGGAGGGTTGGGAGCAGGGGTGGAACACTGCCTTCTGCCAAAAGCTATCAGCTACCAGTGTCTATCCTGAGACCAAGCCATCTCCTCCTTCACTAGTTTAGCTTCGTAGCTTCTTATTTGAGCCTGGTTCCAATTTTAAAGATTTTCAAGGCAGCCACGTGGCATTCTGTTTATAATTTCACTGAATACTATTTATTAGACATAGAATTGCAATGCAATGCTTAGTGTGGCAAGACAGTACTATAGTCCATTTTTTTGGCTTAGAACTGTTCCTTGCCTACCATCCTCTAAGGGAGGACTCCACTATTGCTCTTCACCCTTTCCAGAGGCTGTTGTGAAGACTATGGCTTTAACAGGGTTCAAAAAAGAACTAGATAAATTCATGGAAGTTAGGTCCATCAATGGCTATTAGCCAAGGTGGACAGGAATGATGTCCCTAGCCAATGTTTGTCTGGCACTGGATGACAGGAGAGGGACCATATTATGATTACTTGTTGTGTTCACTCCCTCTGGGACATCTGGCATTGGCCACTATCGGCAGACAGGATCCTGACCTAGGTAGACCTGTGATCTGACCCAGTATGGCCGTTCTTATGTTCTAAGAGTTATTTCTGAGTATTTACACTACCCAGCCATCTTTCCTCTACCTTGGGATTTTGTTGTATTTCAGGACGTTGTAGGCTGGGGAAAAGGAACAGAGATGAACAGAGGGGTATGCTGTGTTATATAGACAGGGCTCATGAAAACATTCTAGCAGATAATTACTACTCCCCTCCTCCTAGTGGATGCAAATTTTCTAAGCAGTTCTACAGCTTAAGGCTAGAGGTACCAAATCCCATTAATGCACAGATGCAATTCTCAAACAAGTTTCTAGTAACCCCTCTTTATCCACTTTAGTCTGATACAGTATTGCTCCCTCATAGCACCATCACTTTTTGGCAGTCCTGCATAAAATGCTTTGTGTTTTGTAACACTAATCTTGCCGAACATATTACAGAGTCCAGAATAAGGACCTGTGAACTTACTCAAATACTTCATTGGACAACATCTGGACAAACATCAACAGCACAATCAAGATCAAAGCTTGGAAGCTATTCTGACTATAGTGTTCTTATAGCATGAACTTGTTTAGACTCTTTGGTCCCTTGTTGGAAAGTAACATACAATTTAGTTAGTAAATATCATTCTGGTTATTGTACTTGCAGATCTTATTCTAGAGAGTGGTTGCAAAACTGATGTAACTAACTGAATATTTATTTTTGGTCAGTCTAAAAATGTCAGCATATCTACATGCCAAACCAATCAAATTCAGTTTTCTAATGTTCCCAACATTGCACTATACATTTCCTTAAATGGACCGGAAAATATAATATACACATATTCTTAATTGGTTATTAAATATAAAATGACATCCATTGGCCAGGTAAGATAATAATCATAAATTTGTATTCAACCAAGCATATATTGGCAGATCATAAGGTGCTGCAAGTGGCTCTTCATGCATTCTGTACTCCTAACAGTGCTTTCACAACAGTCTTTCAAGGTGATTCAGCCCCATACCCTCACAGAATATACTACAGGAAAGAAAGCTGCTAGAAATTAAAAGCAATTGAAGTTCTAATACATGACAACAATAACAGTTTGCCTTCCATTTTTGTGATGATCTCCTGCCTGTAACTTGCTGGGAGCTACATTCCTTATTTGCTTATTCCATTTGTCGATTTGCAAAGGTAGTTAAATTCATCCTCTAATTCACTTTCTAGAAATATCTCCCTCCCTTTTTTTATCCTTTCTAAAAACGTAACCAGAATAATTCTCATTTATCAGGGCAGTTGTTTGTAGAACTGGTAAAATCATGAGCATCCATTGTTTTGAAGCTCGGTATGATTTTAAAAGAATATTAAGTTTGCTGAAGTTACCCTTAAAGTGGTTGAAAATTTTGAATATGTTACCTTTTTTATGTGTGTTTGCAAGATAAATGTTTACATTTATAATTATATTAAATACAAATATTAAATACATACAGAGTCATTATATATATTTAATGGATGAATGCTTCTGTCAGTCCTCTCCTCAAATAATATACATTTGTGAACTTAAATTAACCATTTCATGTGTATAAAATGAGACTGTTGTTGAATTACAGTTTAGAGTGAACAATAAAAATTATATCATATCCAGAGAGTTTACTTTCTGCTAAACTGTAATTTGGTCACAGTAGTTTTTGGTTTTATGCCTACCATGCAGTGACAAAGGTTTATTTTTCTTTTGTATTTTTTCAGAGTGCTGCAGCAGCTCCCAGTCCAGTGTTAGGAAACATTCCCCCAGGAGATGGCATGCCAGTGGGTCCTGTACCACCAGGTTTTTTTCAGGTATTCAGAAAAACTAATATTACAAATATTTTAGGGTGTAGAAAAGCTTTATTTGCATTATTTGTAGCTGTGTAAAAAAGGGCAATTCTAAATTATATTAAGCATAATGTGTACATTATTTAAAATATAGTTATTTTAAACAAAAATAGGAGGAAAGAAAGTGACCTCTTTGACTAATAGCAAGGATTCTATTTAATACAGAACCACTCACTTCACAGAGATAAGAATTTGTGGTATTTTATGGTCAAAGCTTGAAATTTTTTTAATATTTTATAATAAACTCCTATTGTACTGATATTTTAGTTTAAGGGTGGAGTTGTTTTTCTTGTATAGCTCTATGCAAAGTGGAGCCAGAGGGTCAGATTTTCAAAACTATTCAGGGGTTTGATGTCAATGGGAGTTAGATACCTTGGTGCATTTGAAAATCTCAACAAGTGTGTTTAGATGTTTAAACATGTTTGGATATCTTTGAAATTCTTGCCTTTGGTGCTTAACAACAAGTCAAGGTATCAGTGCATTTTCTGCTTTCCCTTAAGATTTGATCTAGGAAAAATTATACCCCTGATGCTTTGGATGTTAGCACTACAATATAAGCTGCTATGAAAAGCCAAACTTACAATTTCAGTCCAGGAATGGAGAGCTCATATAAACGACCTAGTTAGCTCCTTTCCACTAGGATCTAAAGTTATTTTTCTCCCTACCTTGCCTGCTATTGCCATGTAGCCTATAAGAGTAAATATAGCTCTTGAGATGAACTCCCTAATTTTTGCCACAGTAGAGAGTCAGACTTTCTGCATTTATCCAAGTACTGAGAAGTTTTTTTGGTTCACATGTGTGCTCTCCTGCTGGAAAATGAATAAATCAAGTGTCCTAGGCTGGAGAGTGTGGTGCAGGTGAGGATGTGGAGCTTGTCTCCTGTGAAAGACAGGGGCGAAAACCTGGAGAATATGGAGGAAGATCTTCAGTCTCCTTTCTCACTGAGGGCTATAAGAAGGGAGTGCAAGGTGTGTCTGAAAGGTTATCTTCACTATCCTCCCAATAGGCAAACTTTACTTGGTGCTTTTGTTCTTCATACATGAGTACTAACAGTATACAGTGGTATGGTAGCTGTGTTAGTCCTAGAATATTAGTGAGACAAAGTGGGTAAGGTATTATCTTTTATAGGACCAACTTCTGCTGGTGAGAGTCAAGCTTTCAAGCATATATTTTACATTGAATGGCCCCTTGAAATATGTGTTAACAACTTATACCAAACAATCTCTTCAAATCTTGTAATTAGTAGTGACATTTTGAGTTAGTTTTCCAGACCTGAAGAAGAACTCTGTGTAAGCTCAAATGCTTGTGTCTCTCAGGAACAGAAATTGGTCCAATAAAAGATATTACATCACCCACCTTGTTTCTTTGAGTGATAGCAGGTCATCTGCTTGCAGTTCTGATTGAAGGATTTACAGCCATAAGAAGGGTTATAGAAGTCTTGAATATGGTCACAAATATGTTTCAATTGTCAACCCAGGATCTGAGCCAAGTTGTTCAGAGAAGTGATCAAAGAGAGTTCACAGAATAAATATACCGCTTGCAGGTATCATTAACAAAATGCCCAGGAGTTGGCAGGAATTATGATAATTGGTTTTTAAAACACTTAGCAAATAGATCAAAAAGTTACAACAACAGCTCTTGATATCTTCACAAGTAACTTCACAGCCTCCCACCTGAGAACGGAAAAGATCCGTGTTTGTCAATATCTGAATGATTGACTGACCTTGGTCATCTCTGAAGTGTCAAAATGTGTTGACAGCAAGTTTAAATAACAGATTTTACATACTGTTTTTATATTAAAGAAGAAGAAGCAAGAAAGGAAGCAAAATAATATAAGCATATCATGCCATCTAGTGGCACTTGTCTATTCTCTGTATTAGCTGTATTAACATGGATACTCTATTTTTAGCTCTGTTGTGCTGTCGCAGAGCTGACCTAATGCTCTGATAGAGCAATATTACAGGAAGTAGAATGAGTGAAAAGAAGTTTAATATTTTTTCCTCCATTACTATTGTCTATAAAAAGCTAAAGTTAAATAGCACTCAGGTAATGAAACTTAAAAACAAGCTAGGAAATTCAAAGTCAGTGTAACTCACATCCTCTTTGAATTTCAAAACAAGACAGACAATATACATTTAAGAAGCAAACAGCTTACAAGCTTCTGTGTAAAGGATATAAAGTGTATATTGTTTTGCGAAGAGACAGATCAATACAGTCTTTCAGATAATACAATGCATCAACTCCCGTCTCCCTGATTCTGGGTTAGCAGGGGCCAAACCAACCTGGAAGTTGGAACAGACACAGCAGTTGATCACTCTAACCTACACCAGCTAGAACTATCTCATAGGAGTCATTCTCCCAACCGGGGATCAGCTGAACATATGCTCCATGTCTGCCCCCTTCCACTTCTAGAATATCCTCTCCCACACATAGCTGCACCTGACACACACTTTATATTAGGAATGGGTCAAGAGAGATTGGCTTAATGATAGGATACAAAGAATCCTCTTTGGTTAATTTAGAGCAACTTTAATGTCACAGCCCTCTTCCAGCAACACACTGGTGTTTTAGCAAGGCTGATGATCCAACCATATTATACATTTCAGTTCATTTTGAAAATAGTTTACTTTTGTTCAGTTGTGTCTGGAACTATAAATTCAATCTTCTTGCTAAACTCCATGTAGTTTTCTGATTGTTCTAGTCAGTTGCTTCCAAAATAAAAGTTCTGTGTTGTATAGTAAAATATATAAATGTACAGTTGTTGTACAATATTGTTTTTTATTACTCAGAGCATGATTACATAAACAGTCACACATATTTTCCTTGCAGAGAGATCCATTGAAGTCAATGGGATTCCATGCAAGAGTAACAAGAGCACCATCCCTTTTGTCCTTCAAACCACACGTAGTTTAACAATGGCAATGTCCTGGTTAATCACTTATTTTTCACTATTGAAAAATTCATGCTTTCCCCTATCTCACAGTCTTACCTGTCTCCTTATCCTTCCTGACAAAATGTTCAAAAAACACTCAGAGAAAACAGTCTGAGTAGTAGTTGGGACACCTCTTTTCTCGTCGTAGAGTCTACCCAGTTTGCCCTCTTGGCCACAGGTAAAATGATAGAATCATAGAACATTAGAACTGGAAGGGACCTCGAGAGGTCATCAAGTCCAGTCCCCTTCCCTCATAGCACATCCAGCACCGTCTAGACCATCTCTGACAGAAGTCTATCTAGCCTCTTAAATTTTATCTTCAGAGATGGAGATTCCACAACCTCCCTAGGCAGCTTTTTCTAGTCTGTAACCATCCTGACAGTTAGGAAGTTTTTCGAATGTCCGACCTAAACCTCCCTTGCTGCAGTTTAAGCCCATTGCTTCTTGTCCTATCTTCAGAGGCCAAGGAGAACAATTTTTCTCCCTCTTCCTTATGAGACCCTTTTAGATACCTGAAAACCGCTATCATGTCTCATCTCAGTCTTCTCCTTTCCAAACTAAACAAGCCCAATTCTTTCAGTCTTCCATCATAGGTCATGTTCTCGAGACCTTTAATCATTCTGGGTATGTCTACACTACCCTCCTAGTTCGAACTAGGAGGGTAGTGTAGACATACCCTCAGTGCGGGTTAATGTAGGCATACCGCACTTGCAAATGAAGCCCGGGATTTGAATTTCCCGGGCTTCATTTGCATAAGCGGGGCTCCGCCATTTTAAAATCCCTGCTCGTTCGAACCCCGTGCCGCGCAGCTACACGCGGCACGAACTAGGTAGTTCGAACTAGGCTTCCTAGTTCGAACTACCGTTACTCCTCGTTCCACTAGGAAGCCTAGTTCGAACTACCTAGTTCGTGCCGCGTGTAGCTGCGCGGCACGGGGTTCGAACGAGCAGGGATTTTAAAATGGCGGAGCCCCGCTTATGCAAATGAAGCCCGGGAAATTCAAATCCCGGGCTTCATTTGCAAGTGCGGTATGCCTACATTAACCCGCTAGTTCGAACTAGCGGGGTAGTGTAGACATACCCTCTTGTTGCTCTTCTCTGGACCTTCTCCAATTTCTCCACATATTTCTTGAAATGTAATGCCCAGAACTGGACACAGTACTCCAACTGAGGCCTAATCAGCGCAGAGTAGAAGGGAATGATGATTTCTCGTGTCTTGCTCACAACACTCCTGTTAATGCATCCTAGAATCATGTTTGCTTTTTTTTAAACAGAATTCAAATGCATCTATCACTTAAATTGGTACAGTATTGAATAACCAAACTGTACATATTAATGTGCATAATTCCATATGAAAAATGAGTACCATGAAGAATCTAATTTATTAAAAATATTAAATAAAAAGGAAGCAGTTTTCAAAACAATTAAAATGTATCTACCTACATATAAAATGTATCTGCATACCAGTGAAGTTTACAATTTCAGACTCCTTCAATTATTAAAATGCACAATATGAAATACGTATATATGTGAAAGATTTTAGTCTGAAGATTTTTTTTAAACTTTCTTGATTGAAACTTGATACATCAAAAATTTTGCTTCAGTGCAAATGATTATAGCTAAAATATAAGAATCTGAGAAATTTTAACCAATACAACTTTAATGATGGCAAACAGAATTACAGTATTATATTGTATACATCAAAGAAGACTGCAGATTTAAATATAGATAAGCTGATTGGACTCTTCAAGATAAATGTGTACTCAACAACATAACAATGGAGAAGATTCACAGAATCCAAGAAATGTAGAGCTAGAAGAGACCTCAAGAAATTATCAAGTACAGCCCCTGGAGATAAGGCAAGAGAAGTATACTTAGACGGAGCCATGTAGTCTAGACATACCCTTGTAGTAAAAAAAATAAAACATTAAAAATGTGTATAATAGTTGTTTTTTACGAGTCAGAGCATGATTACATAAACAGTCACACATATTGTCTGTGCAGAGAGCTCCATTGAAGTCAATGGGATTCTG